TTTTTCTTTAATAAACACATATATTTTATCTTATATCTTATCTTATTTTCTTCTTGCTCTATTGAGAGAGCATTTTGATTAGAAATAAATTTACATATATTATCTTATTGAAAAGATAATCATATTTTTATTACAAGTAAAACACATATAAATTATCTTATTGAGAAGATAATCATATTTTGCCCAAAGTAAATCTTATATACATTACCTTATTGGAAGAATAATCAATTATATAATCTTTTGAAGTTATAAAAAGTTAATAATTACTATGAATACAGTTACTATTATCATTTTAAAATAATTATATATGCATAATCTTAAAAAATTTATAAAAAACATCCAGAAATTTTATAAATTAATTTATAATTCTAATAAAGAAAATCCTAATCAGTTCAAATCTATTAATAAAATAGTTATAAATTATATATTATTTTATTTAATTAGAATGGATATTATTTCTGGATTATAGAATAGATTACAGAAAATATTTGCTTTTTCTTTGCATAAATTTGAAAGTGAAAGTAAAAGCAAATGCAAGTGTAAATATAAGTAAGAATGCAAATATAAATATGAGTAAGTATAAATGCAAGTGAGAATATAGATAAGAATGCAATTAAAAATTAATAAGATAAGAATTAGTGAGAAGAGTGGTTAACCATTTTGTAATTAGTAAATAAATATTAGAAAAAGTGAGAATCTAATTAAATAATTATAAAAAAATGTAATTATAAAGAGATTTGACTGTAAAAATAGTTATTTCAAACTAGTTTTTATTTTTTTATATTGTATTGAATTTGTTTTGCTGAACTGACAAATAATTATTGGAGTAATCGCGAGTAATTGATTAAAATTAAAAGATCAATCTTTAATTCATTTATCAAAAATGAGTCTTTACATAACCAATTATATTTACCATAATATTAATTCAATTACATTCAAGACATGGCTTCATATCTTAATTTTGCGAAAAACCAGAATTTCGTGTTGTTTATTTGGTAATCAGAACAATGGCAATTCCTTATCTGGAAACAATTGATGTTTAATTTGGTGATCAGAAAATGAAGATGCTGGAAAAGCTTATTTTTCAGCATTTTTATTTCATATTAACATATTTAATACCATTGAAATTTTTGCTCCTCAATGGTAAAACCTATTAAGCTCAAATGAAACCCTACTTGGAATATTAACTAGAAGCCTTGTCTCGGCCAACGGACGATGGCATTATAAGCGTATCTCGCCATGCCTATCCACCGCTTCAAGAGGGTGGTTCGGGGTAAACTTTCAGTTGCGTCCTGTTGATGATGTTCTCTATCTTCTGACGTTTTCTGCGAGCTACTTTCGTGGTCTTGCACTTTTTGTTCCTACGCTCTCTTCTGTATCTAGCCGTTCGCCGTCCTTGCATTCTGCAGATAAAGACGGTGTTAATGGCAACAATATCCTCGGTTCCTTCGTGCTCGTCTTATCGAAGAGAATTACGAGTTTTACAGAATGGAGGTCGAAAGCGGCGTAGATGGGTAACCACGATTTTGTTGATATCGCCATCCTTAAACAAAAACTCAGCACCACAGACTTCAACCCTTCAAAGATAAACTAACGTTATACACGGGAAAAGACACTAATGAACATGAGGATAAAAAACTCCAAAAGGCAGCAGTATTGGGTAATCACAAGTTCGTCCGAAACATAATGCATCTCGGCATGTTGCTTCAGAGCATGTATGGCAAGGCGCCTGCAAATATTAGCAATGAAGCAATTGGTGAACAATGATCGCTAGAGATGATGTGAATCCAAATGTAAATCGGCGAAGCCCGTCGCGTATTATTTCGTTCCGAGCACGAAGATTCGTGCGCATAGCTTTTTATGTGTCCTGCCTTCACACTCCGTCAATGTACTGTCATACATTACCACATAAAGCATGGGAACGAACACAACATTCACTTTGACGACAAACTTACATATTCTCGCCGAATGAATGGACATTTGCTTGGATCTACGAAACTCGGAAACATAAACAAGCGGATGACTCTATCCATACAGTCTTTTATCGATCCCAGCGTTCGCACTCCATGACTTGGTATTCTCTCCAAATAAGATTAAGCAGCACATGTAATTCGCCTGTATAAAATTATTATAGAAAGAACTATCAAATTGCAAAACCTTCAGCGACAATCTGATCTTGTTGGATGAAGGCGAAAATGGCGCTCGGTGAATCTTCCTCCGGTATCGCTTGACGGAGCCTTGGTCATAATGAAATGATAATATTGCACATTGTTGATGTATTACAATCATCCATCGCAAATTTATCCTATCAATCGAATCGCCTTGTCTTATCTGTTTTCTTATCCTGACTCATAATCTTGAAGATCCGAATTCTCACGTAAAAAATAGTTAAAATCGTTCTAACTTTTGTATACGTATATCTATCGTTCGCAAGATTCTGTATGAATTTAATTAGGGTTTCTGTCTAGAAACCTTTATAAATATCTTACTTTTTTTCATTTTGAGGATTAGCTTAAATTATCCCCTTAAAGATTACGTTTCTTGAATATAATAATTATCAAGAAATGGGTAAAACTGCAGACTCCGAATCAAAAGCGGAAACTTCACACCTCCCCATGCACATAATGTCTATGGAATTTGAGGATGAGCCAATATCTTCAATCATAGAAAAAACCAGTGTCACAGCAACAGTTACTTCGCCTCCTTTACCAGCGCTCGTAAGTGAAGGACATAAAGACTCTATACTTCACAATAACCATAGTTCGTCACCTAATGGGGCCGATGAAAAGAATTTGACGTAAGTTGCTTTTTATGTACATTCAAATATTACATTTCATATAGAACTCATTATTCTTCGTGTTAGTCTTCATCACCCAGGTCACTTTCGCGATGATCCTGTGGCTTTTGTAAGACAACTTGGCGCGTTTTATCAAGGAACAGTATGTATAGATGATATATATTTGCTCTTTTGGCATAACTGCTTCCTTGGTTTGGTATATTTACATTTGATTTTTCTATCAAGGGATGGCGAAGCTATAAAAATTATATTGGAACGCGTATACTTTATGACGGCTACACTGAAGAAACAAAAGAACGTGTTCTTAATAGTGAACGCGGTAAATATCATACGTTATAATACTTTTCGGGGTTAAATTTGAATTTTCAATTGACTTTGCATTGATTATTAATATTTCAGTCCGTTATATGATTGCGTATCTTGCGGAAAAGCAGACTAATATCTTTGCGCAATCATTTCCATCGTTGGACGCTAAAACCCTCCAAAAAAGAAAAAAAGCGTTAGAGGGAGAATTGCAGGATGTAGCCAGTGCCATGGTCGACAAATTAATAGCCGACCTGAATAGTTTGGGATTCATTCGGTAGGTTTGTCAACAGATTTACGAAAAGTTCGTTTATGTTGATTAAAAGTTAAATATTTTTGTCTAGATTTTTTGGATTCTTCGTTAATAATATATTAGTGAGAATGTATCATCAAGGCATTCGTATATATTGGCCAGAATTTCTAGAGGTAAAAAGTAATAACTAATGAATGTGATGATAAGCTGTAGCCTCATAAACATGTTCTTTTATTTTAGATCCGTCGCGTTGCGATTCGCGCTGCTCAAAATTCTCAGTCCCTTCTTATCCTCCCATGTCACAAATCGCACATTGATTATCTTGTTATCTCTTGGATATTTTTCCGACTTGGTCTTGCTTTACCCCATATTGCTGCTGGTGATAATTTAGATCTACCGATAGTTGGTAGTGCACTAAGACGCGGTGGAGCATTTTTTATTCGTCGTAGTTGGGGTGAAGATCAACTTTACGCAAGTGTGGTGAAAGAATACCTAGAAGGATTATTAGAACGTGGGCATAACATCGAATGTTTCATTGAGGGTACGCGTAGTCGAACTGGAAAACTACTGCCACCTAAACTTGGAATTCTAAAGATTATCTTAGATTGTATCTTATCGGGCAGAGCAAAAGATTGCTGGATTGTGCCAATGTCAATACAATATGATAAAGTGATCGAAACAGAAAGCTATTATAATGAATTATTGGGAAATCCAAAAGAAAAAGAAAGTCTTTGGGGAGTAGTTACCAATACAAGATTATTACAGTTGAAAATGGGTCGAATTGATGGTAATGAAATACATCATCCCCTTTCAAGTTTTTAATTAATTATCGATGTATTTTTATATTTATTCTATATATGTGTATGTGTGCACAGTCCGCTTTGCAAAGCCTTATTCTCTTCAGAGCTTTTTAAAAGAGCAAATAAATCGAAGAAAGTAAGTTTTTTTATTTGCAATATTATTGATCAATACTTCGAAACCCTTTTTATTTTAACTTGCAATTCTAATAATCACAGTTATATTGATCCTACACAGGATCAGCAAAAAATTATCTTACTGAGGGCTTTAGGATATAGGTAAGTTCAAGTAATGGCTATTTAATTTTTTTTAAGATAGACCTTAAATTTATTTCCTCGTTCTTCCTGAATTTAGGGTCCTTTCTGATATAGTAAGTTTGTGCATGCTAAATTGAAGGAAATAACTTCGATTAGTAATTATAAAAAACACCAACTAAACAAATAACTGGTGTAAAATTATTATGTAGAATGCAGTATCGGTAGTCATGCCGACTGCTCTAGGTAAAACGATTTAATCTATGGTGTGCACGATTATTTTCTATTTATATTACACTTATCGTAATTGATCTTAACCTTAAATTCGTTTTTAAGTGGGCACAGTAATTTTAACACTACGTGGTCGGGTAAATATTGGATAATGTGTTTGATTATTAGTGATTTGTCTCCTAATTCTTTGCTTATCCCACACTAAGACTATCCTCTATTAAGGGTGTTGGGCGAAACGAACTAATTCGTCGCGTGGAATGGCTTCGGTCTGCAATTCGGGCAAAAGGAGGCAGAGTAGATGATTTTGGTAACATGACAATCGGTGAGGTTGTTGATAGGTAAATTAAATGCGAAACGCGTACTCCATATATATATGTGTGTGTGTGTGTGTGTTTGTGTGATTATTGTAAAGTTGGATCTTTATTAAATAGTTTGGTGTTCTTTGATAGAGCGCTAGCAGTTTTAAAGGATTTAATTAAAGAGCGAAAAAGCTTGCTCGAGCCTGTATTTTATGCAGAAAAAAGATTTGAATTAAGCTTCTATCGTAATCAGGTATGAAAATTATTAAATATTTTAGTTTATCATATATACCCTTGATATTCATTATAGATGATAAATAAAATTAGGTTATGCATCTGTTTGTATCCGAAGGTAAGATGTTTATCATATTTGTCACTTCTTACATTATTTTTAAAAGCCTCAATTCACATTCCTGTATCCATGTAATATCAAAAGCAATATTATCGGCCTCCATGTATACAAAAATAAAACAAGGTGGTGCTATATCCACTCAACGTTTAACCTTTGACGTTGTCCTTGAAGAAGTGACTTTTCTATCAAAATTGTTGAAAGGTGAATTTGTTTATCAACCTGGAGAAATTAAAACAAATTTGGAAATAACGCTGAATGGATTAAAGGTATTTAATCAATTTTTCTAGTGTTTTTTCCGAATTTTTAAATTTAAGCATTATTAATACATATTTTCATATTATTGTTATCGTTAAGAATGATGATGTATTCGAATATGATAATAACTTTGTAGAGTTATCGGCTACAGAAAGAAAAAACGGACGAGAAATATATGGTATTTTTCTGATCATTTATGGAAATTTGTTAATCCACAAAACAAACTTTAATTTATTAATGTGTTTACAGATTTTTACTGCTTTTTAATATGGCCTTTTATTGAAACTTATTGGTTAGCCGGTAAGATTTCTTTCCGATTTTTACAAAATAAAATATTAATTCCAATAATAATAGTAATTTAACTATAATAGCCGTTAGTCTCTTTTCCATGACACCTCCCGCGTCAACAACTAAGAGGTTTGACAAAATTACAACACATAAACCAATCCCAATCGTTTGGTTTAATGAACGGGATCTCCACAACAAATGTCAACTTTTTGGAAAAACACTCTATTACCAAGGTGATCTTTCATATTTCGAAGCAATAAGTAAAGAAACGTTAAAAAATGCTTTTATCAGATACGAGCATATGGGTATCATCATGGTGAAGCGAAGCCAAAACAGTAAAGTCCCAACCACTATAGCCTTAAATCCTGATTACGTCCCAACACGAAACGCCAAAGGAGCTATTGAGGCTAGTGGGAAGTTATGGAATTTCGTCGAACATGTTGGTAGATTTAGGCGGGAAGGCAAAAATAGGCGAGATAATATGACTGTTAGTTCGAGGGTTTTACGTTTAGCTGAGATGGTGGGGATGCCAAATACGGCTGATGTGGAAGTTATCAAAGCCGGAATACCCGAGGCTAAACTCTAATTTTTTTCTGGACAAACTTTATCTTTTATGTCCCCAATGAAGATAGAATATTTATTTAACATGAACTATGTAATCAAATAATTGCGGATAATTCACGCAACAAAATCGCACCATCATATCCTCGGAGCAATAGGCAATGACCCTGCGATATGATACTTGAGAATCACTGTTATAATTTTTGATATAATTTATTAGCAGCATCATTACAAAAATATTAAAAAAGCATAATTATAGAAAGATGATGAGATGAAAAATATTTCCTTCGTTTAATGATCGAGAAAGAACTGCTCTACGTCGCAGGTATCTAAGATTTGATGTTTAATGCACTATATGGTAACTTAAATGTTTTTTCACAATTTATTTTAACATGTTATACAAAATGAATTTCTCCAAGGAAAATAAATTATTTGATGAGTGATAATATTAATTTACTTAAATTATATATAATTTGTCTTCATTCATCTATTTGAGAAATGAAATTTTTAAGATTAATCGAAGATTTGCTTGCATAATATCAAATGAATTTGAATAATTCATCTTCTCTTTTTAATAACCTGTAAGGTCAAAGAAATATAATTTCTTTGCATCACTGGAAAAATCATCATAAAAAGGTATATATGTAAAATACCCAAAATCTATTCTCATATTTAATCATTTTCACAGTTCATCATCAAATGGTGGTAATCCAAATTTTATTGGGTCAAATTGCTCTAAGGAGGTCAGAATCTGAGTAGCACCAATATCTTCTGGATGTGCTTCCAAAACACGAGGATGGGGTACCCAAACAACCTTTCAAAGGAAAAAAGGAAACATTTACTATGAAATAAACAATCAATCCGAAAAATCACATAGTAAACGATTCTTATGATTTCGCATTTATTTACATGCATGCCGGCATTCTTTGCTGCTTCGACACCAGTGGCTGCATCTTCAAAAACCAGACACTGTTCTCTTGGTGGATTTCCGAGAAGCTTATGTGCCGCAAGAAATAGATCAGGCGCCGGTTTCCCATTTTTAATGCCTGGGTCGTTACCACATACTACGCCTATAAAAAAGTTAAATAATTCTTGGTGGTTTATGGTTTTTTGATTGAAGTTTACACGGCGAGAGCTAGTTGCTACCTAGACTTATCAAATAAAATGATATCTGTATAATTCAAGATGTGTGATGTTTAGAATTTTCTATTATGAGATCAAAAATTTACCACTATCGGTATGTTATGAGATTTGAGATGTTTCACGAGTCTCTGCATAATTTATATAATGAAAAATTAGTTATTAACTTTGAAAAAGTTCGCGATTAACTTCACGCACATACCATTACACCAGGTAATACTTTACAATGCGGGAACAATCTAGCCTAATCAATAAAATAAAAATATTTAGCGCATCAATTATTCAACCAGGTAAAATTTAAAAATCACATTAGAGCAAATGATTACTTGTTCTACATCTCTTTCTCTTAAATAATCATCTACAGAAAGATCGATACCAGTTTCTCGAACCACTATCTCAGCGGCCTAAAATATGGTATCACCCATAAAGTTAGTAAGACAATATTATTTACGTATCCAGATAAAAATACATACATCACGATCGCGACGCCCCATTATCTGAGCTTTAAGCGCCCAATCAAATTCTTTACCGAATCTTGCTAGTATTCCTGCTGGATATTTCAATGTTATAATGATTTTGGATGGTTATATTGTGATGTTTTGTTTTTATCAACGGAAAAAAATTATTATGTAAATTTATACATGTCACTTTGGTATAGATGGTTTCAGTGTCCTAATTATTATTCACATAATTGTTAATTTTACTTTATATAATATAGATTTTGCATATAATATAAATACCAGCAGAAGCCCTATGTAATATAGAAATGATATATAAATATATTTTAACATATAATTCTTATATGGTTAACTGAGAATAGAAAATTAAAATTGTAAATCTTGCCATCCATATCAAAAATACAATGTGAAATTTTGATATTGCTATTGCTTTCACCGTTCATTTTTTTGAATATGAGAAACAAAGGTGAATGAAGAATTGAATTAGTTATTTTCTAATGTGATCCGCATCGATATATATATAGTATCTTGATGTAAACTACTCTATTAAAGGCAACAGTCAATTTATTTTTTCAATAACACAAGATCAATTGCCAAATTTACTTTAGCGTTAGTGGCGATAGTGTTTTAATAATTAAACTAATTTAAGCTTAAATTCAATGATATTTTTTTAGTTAGTCTTGATTGATAACGTTTAATATTTTCTGATAAATAGTAATGATGAATATCGAAATTATGTATGTATTGCATGTCACTATTTTACAAAATTCCATACACATATATATAAAATTAAATGTATTATACAGTTTGGGTATTGTTAGATTTTGTCGAATCTTCAACTATCTCTAGATGAGCAACGGTCGTCGAAGCAATGGGAACAGATAATGATTGTTGGGTTGCGGGTGCAGTGGATGGGGCAGGCGTGACGATTGTCTTATAGACTGTAGATTCAATTCCCAGACTTTCATCGCGTATCCAAAACATCCCGATCAATGAGCAAAGGATGAGACCCAACATTTGTGTTAGCACGAATATCCAACTTTTGACATTGGGGAAAAGGCATTGACTATATAGTAATTATATTTTTATGTTAGAATTAAAATTCCTCCTTATATAAATCAAGCAAAAAACAAATGTTTTACCTGACGCTACTTGAAAAAAGTGTTAATGTGGCGAATGCAACCACGGAAAGCATCGCATGACCCCATACTAAGAAACTATAGGATTACCATTAATTAATATCGATATAAACAATAACGATTTTGAGAATGTAACAGTACCAGAAAGGAAACTTACTTTCCGATATCCATATAATAATCAGCACCATCGGCATATCTATTGATAAAAACTTTCAGATTCCTATTATTTCTCTTTACTAAATGTAAAATATATATTTATAACACTTACAAAACACCCGATCGTAATCGTTTCCTTTCGGTACCATTAACAATAAGCTTTCGTTCCGAAAGAGGTGGGGTGCCACCAGCAGGAATTCGTTTAACAAACGACAAAAATAACGATAGAAAGAATCCAATACATAATGCAACAATCAATGCGGATTTTTGGTCGTCATTACATGTCAAACCCAAGCTAATTGGTGCGCTAATTAGACAAGTGTAATTGTCTTGTGGCGTGATTACGGTGGTGTTATAAAAAGTGTTCATGCCAGTTGTGTCTGGACCAAGTGAGTATGCATATGTTTCCAATGCCGTGTAGATTACGTATGACCCGAGTGGCAAGTACGTGGCAAGTCGAGCGAACTTGTTTGCAAGATCCTTTTTGGTTATAAAAGAAAGTAATTTTAGGTTTATTTATTGATTCGATGAAATGAAAATTCATGCATAAATACTTTACCGATGTGCCTGAAGCGTTAGCAGTGTTTGTTATGAGGAGGACACCGTTGAGAGTTTGTAAGGTTGCCATGGGTTACGAGTCAAAGTAATAGGTGCAATAAAGTCGATAAAAAATAGAGAGCGAATAAATCAATCACCTTGCCGCTTCCCTCAAGAAGCAGCATTCGTATAAAAGTTTTGTGTTTTTTTGATATTCTACTAACAAACATCATTAATTATTTATAATCTCCCTATTTTTCCTTTCATGTTCGCAACAATGCTGTGTAAAAGAAATCCTTGCCGGAATGTTGTGTAACTTCTAAATAAATGCGTTTGTACGCGTAAATAAAATTTAGAATTCACGCGTCGTCTTAAATTAAACATAAATTTAATTAAAAAAATTGCATTCATTCTTTTTTATGAAATTTAATTCACCAGGAATTTTTTCTATAATAATTTTCATGCTCACTTGATGAAGAAATTTTCTAAAATTCATTAGCTAAAACTTGTATTGTACACATTAAGATTTTAGTGGAGAATATAAATAAATCTATGTGTTTTGTTTGACTAAGTCACCATGCAAACATCGCTTTCTCTCGTAAACACCGGACACCCAATTCACCCCATTCTCTCGAATTGATCCATGATTCATTGACAATTTCTAATTTGCTCATCACTGATGCTCCTTTCCATGCTAATAATCGAGGATCTAATTCACGCGGTGATGAAAGTACCTCGAGTTTATCGGCGAATGGCATTGGTCTAGATGATAATCTATTTTTTGTATTAAACATAACAGCATTAAAACAAATACGTTAATGATCCCCCCCAAAATATCATTGAAAAAAACGTTGAGCAATAATTCTTTTAAATAGACATAAATAAACTTCACGCACCGATCCTCTAGCATCGCATTGATTCCAGGTATGAGACCGCCACCACCAACCACAATAATACTAGAATAAAATTTTTTGACGCGTTCTTCTGTAGACGAGCAATTTATACTTTGAACGATAGCTTCATCAAGAGGTAACGTAGATACCGGATCAACCATCGGTGTAATATTGTTCCGCGACAGTGAAGAAAATACAGATGGTGATGAAGGTCCAGTAGTTGTGGTATTCGGCTCATTTCGCACTGGTGTTGATGGAAGAGGACTGTCGCGAGGTCCCGGTGATGGTGACGTGTATGAACTTGATCGTATTTGTGACGGATTGGTGATTAGAGAAAGTTTTGGCTTTTGTGATAATGGAGCAGGTGGCAACTATATATATATATAAAATATGTATGAGAGAGATATATATGTGATGAAAGACTTGAAAACCATTATCTTAGAAAAAATATTTACCCCAGTCGACGCGTTTCCTTCATTAATATCATCGATTGCATAAGTGAAGAATTTTGTAGGAAATTCATTCACTTTTTTCTGGAAATTTATTATATGCGGATAAAGTAAAAGCTAAAATTACAAAAATGATTATTATCATCTCTCGAAATAATGAATTTACTCAAAAATGTGAAGTTGTTCTATTTTACGAACCATAGGCGCAATAATCGCCTCGTCATAGGTCTTTATTTGATATTTCTTGGTAGGTTCATTAGGCGCTCGCACGTAAAAATCATATAATTGTATGGTTAAGTTAGCCTATAGTTGACGGTAATATACGAAAATCGCGCATGCGGTTATTTGCATGGAAATAAAAATCGCGAAGATTATCTTCTAAACTTATAAATGTGATAACAGTCATTTATAAATACGAGAAACGTATAAAAAGAATTACTTCATTGAGAGTACAAAATCTCTCTTTCATTTCTTCGGCTAACATCCAATCATATGATCTATTTAAATCAATTTCTTCATATGGAAATCTGCTTCTTTTTAAGAGTCGAAGAAAAAAGATGGTAATATCATCACATCCATAATTTAGATATATCCTTAAATTTAATAAATTTTTGAATTAACAAGAAAGTTTGATAAACCCCCGCCCATTCTAGGGTAATATTCAATTTATACCTTGAATCTGGTATGCACATTCCATCCTCAACACAAGTAATACTGGTTGTTTGAGCTCCAATATCAACAACACATGCCATCGACATACCAGCACCAAATGTCACACATACAGCTTCTTGTTGAACAAATACACGAGAAAATCCCATATATCGTAATAGCATGGTAACTATCTCAGCCACCGAAAGTCTATTAAACAAATCTGGTATCACTAGAATAACCGAGTATTTCTATCGAAACAAAGTAAAAAAAGAAAGAATTTAGAATTTTAACGGTAACAATAGAGAATTCATTAATATTAAACGGATAAAATACGTCAAAATTCTTCTTTTTGATTTTTAATTGTTCAGTGATAACTTCAGTCCATATCGTCTCTAGATCACCAATTACAGCTTTAATAGAATCATAATCACGTGTATTCAGATCACCACGTTGTATGGGATATAATAGTTTGTATGGAGTCAGAGGAGTTGGTATTCGAAGTGCCTAGATTAATAAGTTAACTTTTTAATCTATTTTCTTTTTTTAATAAGACACACGATCAAATCAAAATAGCTTGTAATTAATTACCTTATCACCCACATAATAATCGTGACCATCATCTATTCTAGTCCATTCAACTTTATATGGATCATTATGATCAGGTATTATTTCAGGCACAACAGCTTTGTTAAAAGATGCGATTTGAGCACTAGCATTGGCAACGGGACGTCGCTTAGCTATTTTCATTCGTTCTTTTAATTCCTTCTTAATTTCATCTATTCCTTTTTTTATTCGAGTCTAATAAAAATGTAAAACATAAATAAAAATGACGCGATTCATTATCCAATCTCGAGGGCATATAAAATATGAACCTCCTCCTCTTGCTCGAATTCATCAATATTAGCCAGGGAACTCGGTGAACCAGACATATTTTCGTTGGATGACTCTTCTTTAGTGGCACTGCCATTACCGCCACTTTCAATTATGGCATTTTTGCCTGTCTCTTCATTGACTTGATGTCCTTCTTTTAAAAGTTCAATCGTGTTGGCGGTGATATTGGTGTTGGTGCCGGAATCAATTTCCATAAAATCAGCATTTTCCTTGTTGTCCTTTTTTACTTTATTACTGCGATCATTAGGGATTTTCAATTTTCTCGCGATAACATGGGGTATGATTAGAGGAAATGCATTAGATGCACATCCTATTCTCAAATTTTTTGAACCTGGATGAATCACGAGCACTTTTGATCCTTCTCGATCTGTCTATTAAATCAAATCTTCATTATAATTGCATGACTCCAACAGTTTTATTATATAAATATATATATAAACTGTATATATGCCTTGTTTGATTCTTCCTCGCTACTTTCTTCCTCTTCGTCTTCCATATCCTCATCTTTACTATCACGTTCGCGTTCTTTTTCTCGAAAAACTCGAGGCTTCAGAAGCTCATCTCTCTGAAAAAATGACGCGTCATTTCTTAAATACTTTGAGGTAACATATTTGGTTACTATGGGCGCTTGTGCGGCAAAGTTGGTAAACTTTAACTCTGGTCGGTAGTGTCTGTCAATCTCTAGTTGAGAAGAATGAGACGAAGCTGCACGAGTAGATTTTGCTTCATTCTTTGTTGGGGAAGTTGAGGTTTCCATATTTGTAGAAAATATCAGAACTAATGATCAACCTTGGGGAACGATTACATGTTTTATTATTTCATGGCAGAGATAAAAAACAAAATCTGATGCACTACGCAACATGTGGCATTTCATAATTTGATTGGTAACGGTGAATTGTTTTAATTACACCGGGGAAGATATATATAGAGGAGATATATGAATTTTCCCAAGGATAGACCGAGGGAAATTCATTTTGGCGAGACTTTATTTCCCATAGTCGTCATAGATCGGAAATTTCTATTCGAATTTATAATTAGGCCAGTAAAGGATGGGAATATTATTTATAATATTCATAGTTTATAAAAAGGATAATAATTCGTGCTATTTAGAAAGGAACTTCAATGAACAAAATGAGTAACAAAAAGAATTCAATCATCCGAGCAAACTCGAGCAACAGAAAAGACGCAAACGACGAAATAGCAAGGTTTCTTGCTGAACCAGCGGTTTCGCTAGGCTCAGGTAGAAAAGACGCAAGCGACGAAGTAACAAGGCTTCTTGCTGGATCAGCGGTTTCGCTAGGCTTAAGCCAAGCTTTCAGTCCCAAGGCTCTAATCATTGGAGGGATTGCAGCTTGGGCTGCGAACAAAGTAATCCAAAAAACAGTGGAAGATGATGATATAAAAGAAATTAGTCAATTCGTGGGAGATGTCGGATTGGGATGTGCCTTAACTGGTGCATTTTCCGCCTTAACCGATGACCAAAGACAATATCACAATAAGCATAAATTACGTGGTATACCCTTTAAATTGGATTGTAAAATTTGCAATGCGTAATGTTGGTAATCATAATCATCATTGTCTTTATGTTGTTGACTTTCACATTTACTAATTCTCACATTACTCCTAATTTTTTTCAAGATGTCAAACATTAAATAAAACTCATTGTCTATCTAATATACATTATTGGGGATTACAATGTTGATTGTTAACATTTATATATCTACTCCCAAAATAAGCACCCTCCCAAATATTGTACTAGATTTATAAAGATCATTGCATTTAAGGAATAAAAGATAGTCAATGCCATCAATACTATCATCATCATTAACATTTAAATTTTAAACAATCTCGGAAATAAGCACCCTTATAATAAAAAAGGGGGTGTTTATTTTCGGGAATATACGGTGAAAAAGTATCCAGGTCCATATCATGAAGGGTATTATTTTTGATACTATATACAGTGCTAAAAGGTAAATTACCTAATTATTTGATAATTTTCATTATCGTTATATCAATAATGATTTCGCTTAAATAAAATCACCTACAATTCTTCAAAATTTTGAATATGAGATTAGATTTTACATTGTATTTTTATATATTATGTTCTTTCGGCCTATTCCCAGTCCTAACCCTCTAATTCTCGGCCAATGCTATATCCACGTAGAGCTAATTCCAAATTACAACATATTTAGTGGGAAAGAGAATAGCAAATTTTGATTTGGCTGGTCGTGGGATCCATCCTGACGATGCAGCAACAAAATGTGTTATCTTCTTCAAAGGCAAATTGTTTAGACGCTATTCAAGCATTCTTGTTAAGAAGCATTATCGATATGATGGATATTTCGCTTCGAGGAACGATTACATGTTTTTTTATTTCTTGATGCACTATGTAACATGTGGCATTTCGTAATTTCGGTCGAGAAATTTAAATATATAGAAGGGAGAGATATATATAATTTCCCAAGGATAGACCGAGGGAAATTTATTTTGGCGAGACTTTGTTTTCCATAGTCGTCATCGATCGGAAATTTAATTCGAATTTATAATTAGGTCAGTAAAGGATGGGAATATTATATATATATTTTCAGAGTTTTATAAAAAGGATGATAAATTCGTGCTATTTAGAAGGAAACTTCTAGCGTAACAAAAATGAATTCAGTCACCCAAGCAAACTCGAGCAACAGGAAAGACGCAAGCAACCAAGTAGCAAGGTTTCTTGCTGAATCAGTTGTTTCAATAGGCTTAAGTCATGATTGTTGTCGAACTACTCTAATTATTGGAGGAATTGCAGCTTGGGCTGCGAATAAAGTAATTCAAAAAATAGTGAAAAACGATGATAGTAAAGAACTTAGTCAATTCTTGGGAAATATCGGATTGGGATGTGCCTTACTTGGTGGATTTTCCTCCTTAACTAATAACGAAAGACAATTACTAATTCTCACATTCCTCCTAATTTTTTTCAATATGTCGAACATTTAAATATTTACTCCCAGAAATACCCTTCCTCAATATTGTAATAGATTTTTATAAAAGATTATTGCATTTAATGAATAAAAGATAGTCAATGCCATCAATACTTACATTATTATCACTAACATTATTTAAATTTTAAAAATCCCTCAGAAATAAACACCAAGGGGTGCGAATATACGGTGAAAAAATATCCAAGTATAAATCATGGAGGGTATTATTTTTGAGGGATACTATATATACAAGAGCTATAACGGTAAATTCATTGTCTTTACCTAATTATTTTATAATTTCATTATCGTTATATCAATAATGATTTTGCCTAAATAAAATCACCTACAATTTTGAAAAGTCATCTTCTTCAAAGGAAAATTGTTTAGACACCTATTCAAGCATTCTTGTTAAGAAGCATTATCAATATGATGCTTTCTTGCTGGAGGCAAGTTGTGGCTGATATTATTGTGGCTAGGCTAATTTAACGCTATCTATCGACAGTAACTTTGATGATAAAATGGAGAACTTTAATAATGACACTGGTAAGTAGCATTCCGTTCGTTGAATTATGTCACCAACTTTTTTGCCCATTCGACGGACTCAATAAAACAATTCTTCTAATAACTAAATAGACCCATTTCCTGGACTAGAAAATGATACAAATGAAACATTATTTGGCACGTTATACTCGAGTAAAAAATTCTTAAACCCAAATTCAAACCCAAAACCACCACCCGAAACTGCAAAACTACAACAATCCCCTTTTGATAGCTTCAAAATATCTTCAACTGCAGTATTGGACACAATAACGACACGTAGTCCGTGTTCCGAATGTGACAAATCAGTGAAATATTTTTGTTATCGATGCTTTGTGGCGGTCGGGTGCTCGCGTGATAGTGTTCCGAGATTAAAATTGCCCATTAAAATTGATATGTAAGTAAAAAAAAAAAAAAAAGAAAGTAAACATGAATTTTTCATGAGCATTTTTTAATGAAATGAGTATTTATTTAACAGAATCAAACATGAAGAAGAGCGCAATGGCAAATCAACAGCAATACACGCAAAAATACTGGCACCAGATGATATCATGATATATTCATATCAAAATATACCAAAATTCGAAAACTATGAACGTCTTTTGTTACTGTTTCCAGGACCGGTAAATATTTTTTGTTCGATTTTCATTCTCTCTAGATTATAACTTATAAAAATTTTCATCATTTTTAAGGATGCAAAAAAACTAGACGAAATTCCACGCGAATCATTTGATAAATTATTAGTAATAGATGGGACATGGCACCAAGCAACAAACATGATACGATTCACCCCTGAATTCAGTAAAATTCGTAAGGTTACCATAAAACCGTGTACCACATTATTCTGGCGATTTCAGAACAGGGATAAGCATTATTTGGCAACGATCGAGGCTATTTATTATGTCTTGAAGGAATACCATGAAGCTTATGATGACATTGTAGATGATGTAGGAAAAAGAAATGGGTATGATGGACGGTACGATGATATCCTTTGGTATTACAAATATTTTTATGAGTTTATTCAAGCTACTTATCGAACGAACAAAGGGGTAAAAAAGTTTAATGCTAGACATCAAGCGGGATACATACAGTATGATTAAATTCGTAAATAAATTTATCATTTCTGAAGTAAATTCTTCCTTTAAACTAAGAATATTAACAATTATATAAATATATATAATAACTATAAAAGTATATATTACATTTCGTACTGATGGAAGTCAATGGTTTTGGTTATGTCGTCCCGACAGCCTGCCAGTTTCCACAAAGAATATCTTTTATTTCCATTTTCATCCACAAACCAAGGATTATAATCATCCACTGGTATTATATTGATCAGATTATAACCCAAAGAACTAGGTCGCATTGGGACAGTAGTATAAATAGAATCATTATTCTTTATGTCAGTAAGCTCCAACAAATTTTCCTCAATCACCTTACGAATTGCGTCTGCGGGTGGTAAAATCTCGGTTGTATCCGATGCTATACTCTTTTGTTTTTGTTTAGCATTACTATTACCGTTGTCTTTATTTGACTCATAATCAGTATCAAAATCAATTTCAATCCCTGAATCTTTGCGCTGTTGTGATGATGGCGAAGCTGAGGGAGAAAGTGATTCGGACTCTTGTCGAGAGGAGAATCCAAATTGATTCAATCGATAAATATTTTTCGCGTCATCAGGTTGTATTTTTCTACTGATCCTCTGTTGAGCAAAGGAGGATGATTTTAGCGTGTTTTTTGGTGAAGGAGAACCTTTATTGTTTTCATGATTATTATTATTATTGTAATTATTGTCGTTATTATCTGGACTGCTGGATACTTCGAAAAACTTTGTAATTGGCTGTGAAGGGGTCGTTTTCTTTCGAACAATGGAGTCCTTCTTATACCGCAACGATAGAAAATTAATAGATTTAATGGTTTGACTAGCTGTTTTCTTTTTGAAGATTTTGTGAGGTGGCATTAGAGAAAATTTGAGAAAATTGAGACTTTACAAAACTAGATAAACACGTGACGCAACAACAAATATAAATATACGCGTCTCAAAAAACGTATTTACAAGTTGATCTCTTAACAGTTAACAAATTTTTACTTGCTTCGCGTTTTCTTAAGTCAACTCACAACGACCCATAAGCGGTGAGTTTGGAAGATTTCCTTTAGATAAAAGTCAGTTTGACTGTCCAGTCGGACTGAGATCACTATTCCCAAATGATTTCATGGTGGCCCTTCGGCTTTGCTATGAACGTGAAGCTTTTTTAGGTTCTTGAACTAACAACAAATTCCGATACCACGCAAAAAGGAATCTTTACCTTTGTGCTTGGCGGATGAGATTGAAACCATAACCCACAAACTAAGATACTTTACATTACTAATGCTAGTTTCTTACTTATCCAGTATTCCGTTCACATACTTTTTTTCGCGTTTCATTTCTTAGATATTTATCCTACGCCCATATACCTTCATATTCTTGCGGATCACATAGCTGTATTTCTCTAGCTCGCACACTAATATTTTTCTTTTTTTCCTTGTATTGAAGGTCATTTCCTCCTTCAAGGCGAGGATGGTCAGAATGAACCGAGCCCGAACCGAGAAATTAATCTAACTTGAGATTGTCAATTACTATTTCGTGAAGTTCCAGTGACTCGGATAATTATGGTCGATTGTTACTTGTCTCCAATATGCATTAAAAAATAATCAGCAATCAACAAAATATCTTAAATCATGCGCGAAACAAAGCTTCTCCATCTATTCGACCTTTGACAATATTATTGAAAGGCAAGAAGTTCAGAATTTGCTTGAGACGATAGAAAAAAGGCAAGTTAATGGTTTGCATTTTACATGGAATTGAAAGATATTATACAAGGAAACGATGAAAACTTGAATGCAGATATAACATAAAGTTAAATTCGTTCGCAATGAAATTAATGACTCGATAGATAATTAGATTTTTCACAAAGTGTTTAATATACCGCCAGTAACTTAAATGAATAAATAGAACATATAGAACCAACTGATGTCATATTGCATTGGAAGAGTAAATGAGAAACTGGCCAACATCACAATGGATTTATTAGTAATGTAATCTCCAACACATTTCTGAAGAAAATTAATTGAATTATTAACAAGTTAATGAATGTCAGAATTATCAGAATCAATAGGAAATAGGAATGTTTATTAGGAGAAATTCAAGATTTACTGATTCAAATTGGAAAGTTTAATATGAAATTAATATTATAATAATAGAACAAGAAAATATGATCTGTTATTAAAAAATTAATAGACATATAAATATTTAATAATCTTGAATTAAAAATTTGAAGAACTGAATTTTGAAATAAATTATTAGTATTATCAGATCTGAGTTATTTATACTAAATTATATAAAAGTAATTTAATAATAAAAGACAAGAATAATAAAAAGAATTAAAAGATTGAAAAATCTAGAATATTAAAAGAAAGATAATTTAGCAAATAAAGAAAAAAAGAATTTCAGAAATAGTTCTTGTATTGAAATAAAATAAAATCTGAATTCTTAGCATATAATATATAAATTATGTTATATTAAATAAAGAAATTATTTATAAAGAAAAAGTAGAGAAATTTAATTATAATGAATTTGAGATTTCAAATATTTTTATTATTATAAAGTTAAATTCTATCAATATAATAAATATATAAAAGAAAAATAGTTATTTTAGAAATTAAAAATATTTTTTATTTCTAAATTTAAATCAAAAAATAATTAATAATATAATAATTATGATATATATCTCAATATAGATCAATACAAAAAGATTTATATCTTAATATAAAAATTAATAATTATTTCTAATAAAAATCATTCAAATTTTAATTAATCTTTATAATTTTTTTATATTAAAT